ATATATATATATATATATATATATATATATATATATATATATATATATCAGTACAAATGTGTTATTAGTGCTCACCGAATACATCTTTTTTATTTCTTAGACTTTTTTTCTCTCAATATACGCTACACAGGAAAAACGTGTAGTTGGATCGGTCAAATTTCTGCTAAAGTACGAACGAACCAGAAAGTTCCGACCGAAGTTACCAAGATTCTTTTCGAGTTAACCAGGAATCGTGTTAGTTTGAATAGAATTCTGGCAACTCCGGAATTTTTGGTTTGTTCGTATTTTTGGTTCGTTCGTATTACCAGAAATTTCATTAATTCAATCAAACTTTTCTTTCCATGTATGAAATGTCTCGGACCTTTGCACGCAGCTTTCCGTCTCCCAAGCGAAGGGAAGATGCGGTAAGATACGGTAAAGAGGAAAGGCTACGCCGTTGGGCCCGCGTAAGCCGCGAGTGACTTACGATAAACGATTATGCCTCCCTTGTCTTTTACGTTCATCCTCGTTGACATTTGTCACGGCGGGAATATGGACAGGCTCTTTGACAGCGGGTCTTAATGGACTATCTCCGTGACTAGTGTTTCACGGTTTTCGACATCAGTAACCCCGTAGTGATTACTTCATTGTTGCCGTATCGCTGCCGACGAGTCCTCTTCATGAGACGATCAATCGCGACCGAATACCTCGTCTCCATCGTCTCCCACATTCGTCGTGCAACTCCTCTGGATCTCTCTCTCTCTCTCTCCCCTCTCTCTTTCTCCCTTCGTCTTTCTCTCTTTTCGACGAGTCGATTTCTTTCCTCGACCCGGCGACACGAAGAAGCACGATTTAACGGGACGGGACAGCGCGTATAACTAAAATTATCGATATTCAACGGCGTGAGCAAATGATCTCAAGGCCGCGCGACCATCGATCACCACGAGGGAGACACGGCCGTCGCGCGGGCTAAAATACGAGAAAAAATATATCGCAGGAGAGGAGGAGAGAGAGGATGATCGCGGGAGAGGCGGTGACCGATCGATCACCCGAGAGAAAGAGAGATGGAGGCACTCCGCGCACCGCTGACTTGCCCAAGTGTATACGTGTACACGAAGCAAATCATCCGCGCCTAGTCCGCTTTGACGTCAAGCTCGCCCGTGCTCCGCGCCCCCCGCTGCCGGGGGGATTAAAAATACCCCCGACCCCCGGCGACGCAGTCAATGTCGGATAATTGCAGTTTCGATTTGCCCCACATTTACGTTCCCGTCGCGACGTGTTACGTGAAAGATGTGGTGATATCGACGCGACTCCTGTTATTGGATCACGTCCGAAAAATTTCGTTTATCCCTATGAGTATCGCCGCACCCTTTCGCTGACGGATTTCGCGCTCTCTGTGCTTCGCGTTACTTTCCTTTCGTCGAAAGCCCGGTTTCAGTCTGAAAGTCAAATTTCGCGTTAAAGCGACTGACCTGTTTCGAAACGCACTTTGGGGTGAGATATAGGGAAGAAAATGATAAAGAAACGTGTCGCTTGAAGTGATATCTTTTAACTCGCGTTAAGATTGATTTCACTGAGTTCTTCTAAATTGATCAGTGTCTGTATGACTTATATATGAAGAGAATATATATATATATATATATATATATATATATATATATATATATATATATATATATATATAT